GAGGACTCAAGAGACTTGTGATGCAGTGACCAACCCTGGGTCATATGCCTATTGTATTACTCTAGAGAGGGTGCAAGCCTTTCCCTTGGGCTCATTTCTTTTATTTTTGCACATTCTCTTTATTTTAAATACCAAACTTCTTGAATTTTGTCTTCAGATACATAGTCTTGGAGACAGAGACAGAGACAGAGAAATAGAGAAAGACAGAGAGAAACACAGAGAGAGAGAGAGAGAGAGCATGTGGGGGGGTTTAAACTGATTCATCTGATTTTGATACTTAGTTTTTCTGGAATACATTCAAAATCTGTCATTACAAAGGTGCCAATACCTAATATAGCTCTTTCTATAATTTATTTCTAATAGTAAAATAATTCTACAAATTATATTGAGAAATTCAAATGTGCACATATTGGTGTTTTAGTAGGACGTGGTCCTAAAGTTGTCAGAAGCTTTAGAATACAGATGGCCATGGAAGCCTGTACCTGTCACCTTGTGCATAAAGTGATTTTATTTTTCCACATAACTAAGATTGTCTCAGCTTCTAAATGATATGCAAAAATTCATGTATTCTTCAGGAGTTCTTATATAAGAATTATTTTACTAAACTTGATTGAGGAATTACCATGAAGAATAAAGAAAGGTTTTAGTAAGTTGCTAGTGATGTCATTGTACCTTTAAAATCAATTATTCAAATTCTTGTTAAATCTGAAAGATCAATATTATATGTATCCAAAATTCTATCCATAGTACTCAGAAGAGCAAAAGTAGTATTCAAAAGAAGGTAAATTTGTGAAGTGCTGAGTTAGACAGTAGTCACTAATAAACTGATTATTTTTTTTATATATCAGTGCCCATTTTGAATTTTGCAAGGCCAAGGATATACAAAAGAGTGTGACTGGATACTAAACACTCTAAAGTAGAATAATTAAAAATATGTGCTTAAGGAAATATTGCTTAACCACTAGATTTTTTGAATATTGGTAGAGTGTGTTACAAAACTGGTTAAGTAGCCCGAGATTTTTGAGGACAGTCACAGCACACGCCATAATGACTTTTATTATCCCTTATAATAGCAAATTATGTATTATTGAAGTTTAAGACTCTGTTTTATAATATCTACTAAAGAGAAGACTTTCCCAATCTAGTTCCAAGGTGGACTTCTGGGCAGAAAGAAGAATCAAAAATCTATGTACATAGACAAGTTTCTAAAAAAACAGTTTTTCTCAGGAAGGTGATTACAGATTAGCACTTTGGATTTTAATCCTAGATCTTCCATCATTTATAGTCTCCAAACAGCACAGCTATCAAAATGAGTTGTCTTGTTGAATGCAGCTAGAATTAGCCATGTCATTCATGGTCTAAAGAACGTTTGATGTTTTTAAATATTTGTCACATTGAACTGGTATCTAACAGTGCATCCACGATGCAAGAGCAAGTGTTTGTTACTCAAAACCGTTCCTGAAATGAGCCAGTAATACCAGCAGAGAAGGCCATCCTAGGCCATATATTCATCTTAAAGTGAACTTGGTTCATGGAAAAGCTACATTAGATTATTTAGGTAAAATTTTAGAATAATAAGTCTAAGATACAGCCTGTTTTATTCTGTATGTGAAAAGGGACTCTACAACTTTACAGTTCTCTGGGAGAATCCTTATATTGTTGCCTTCATTTTATTTCATTCACATTCATAACTAAAAACATTTTACAATGCTGTTAACATGATTTAAAGGTATTGGGAAGCTGTTTTGAAAAGTATCTACATTTCTACTGAATGAAGTCATGACATTTTTTTTCTTTTTCTCTGTAGAAGGAGCTTCGAAATTAAACCCTTCTGATGATCCAAAGATAGGCACAATTTTCCTGAGCAAATCTCACACATACGGTAAGACTACGTTTCCCCATCAATGATCAGGCTGAAAACTATTGTCATTTTATGTGGTTGATACATTATACAAATATTTACAAGAACTTATATATTGGATTCAGTTTTTCAATTTTTTGAATGTGCATTTTACTTTTAATATCTGATTATATACTTTCTTTTAATGTCACTCTAAAACTGAGAGCTTGTTTACTCTCTGTTAACACATTTTGCGGCCTCTTTATCACTACAGGAGACCACATGATTAAGGAAGGGGTCATGGATTTAAACTTATTTTTCTGTATTATTTTGTTCCTATCCCCTTCTTGCACAGGAAATGTTGTAAGGAGAAATAATAAAACTTAGTTTACACTTCGATTATCTTGGCATCACATTTTAAAAATCATAGATCCAGATATGCAGATAGGTATATATGTGGATAGAGCCAACGAGAGTCCTACTGTGTCATCCCTTCCATCTCACTGTTACAGTGCTATAATCAAGTGAGCCTACCTCACACCAGATTTAGGATTTATGGCATTCTCAGAAATTGTGAGTTAGCAAAAATGTTTTTATCCTATGAAGAAAATCTGTGTAAACATACTCTGACATTAAGGGGTAAGGCAATGTGTGCAACTACTGTAAATCATTGTGTCCTGCTTACTCCAGAGTGAGAATAACATTTGTGAAATCTAACTTCTCTTCTTCATGTTTGGATAAATTGCCTTTGTTGTTGTTGTTGCTGTCATTTTATTTTGTTGCTAAAAGTCTGATATATGACAAAATTTTCCAGTTGATTACAAGAGTAAGAATTTAAGGAATGAAACTCCTGTAATACTTGGAAAAATGCAGCACAATGAAAAATGGGGATTCTTATCTATATTTTCAATTCTGTACAATTTTCTTTTTTTTTCCCAAGGGAGGAATGTTTTTTTTTTAATTTAAGAGGAAAAAGAGAAAAACACAAAACAAACCAAAGCGGTGTAAGTGTACACGTAATACAGAACTAAAAAAAAAAAACAAAAAAAAAAAACAAAAAAAATAACAGTAAGAAATCACCTGTTAGTAGATTACATATTATCATCTTGAAAATAGTTCCTCAAATCACAGTATCAAAGAATACAAGGTGGACATTCAAACAGGGAGACTGCAAACAGCTGTGTTCAATGATCCAAAAACATTGATATAGTCAGCTATTTAACACCCCTAAACATACTTGCTGTTATATCCGTTAGAGCTCTTTTTCTTTTTTTTTTCCCTCTCTTTTTTACAACAAAATTTACACATTTTGGATTTTATTACTCCTTAGTGCTTATTACTTTTTTTGGGGGGGGGAGAATACAGTCAAATATGACAATTTTCTTTTTGAGCTGGTCATTTCTGGTTAGCATTGCTGTGTTTTTCCATTTCTTCAGGAGAGGAGATGTGCCTCTCACATGTAGAGTGTGGGATAAAAAACAAACAGATCCGCACTCCTCTCTTCAGGGGAAAGGAATATGCAGGTGTCTAGCTTGAGAGGAAACAGTATGGGAAATGCTGTGGTGGCCCATGTAACTCTGGAGTGTTTGCTTTATGTACTTCATTAGGCCAGAATGAATTGTGTGCTATTGAGAGGGTGTTCAGTTAGATTAGCACATTCATTTCAAGCTTGATATTTCAGGTGGATTAATTTACAGTTGTCTAAAGAATCACTAATATTTTTAGTAACATCTGCATTAACTTAGTAGGTTATGAATTCTAGAGCAGAAAGAGAATAGTGAGTGCCTAACCAGAAACTTGTTCATAGAGCCGTCTGCTATTAGATATTTGTAATTAAGCTATAAAGCAATATACAATTACAAAGTAGTGTGTATTTACTCAGGAAAGCCTGGTAATAGGAGAGATATGTAATAAGTTAACTTTTTTCTATTAGCTAATGTTCATCTAGGATCCAGTTTTACAATTTTCTTTCATGTAAGGACAGTCTGTCATTTTCTAGTGTAAACAGAAGGCATAAATAAATATATGGTTTTCACTTTATCAAACTTGTCTTGGCAGATAATTGGCTGATTTTGGTACCCAGTTCTAACTCACTACCTTGTGCTTGCCAGGCAGGCACTGTGCCACTGAGCTATATCCCCAGCACTAGATGATTTACTTTTAGAAGTAAAATACTCATTTTGTATATTCTCTATATTTATAATCCATCAGATATTTTGCAGTCAGTTCAATGTACATTTCTAAGGCATTTGTATTATAATAGTTTAAGTAGGTTTATTTGTTTTTCTTATTCTTAGTGCATGACCAGAGGAACAACACCCATCTCAAGCATGTAAGTAAATAGTTGATAAGGAATTGAGTAAATCTGATTGTTTTTGCCATGATTTCTAAACAAATATAATGAGGAGCCAGTCTGAGACCATAGACTTCCTTTTCTGCATTTTTAATGTATCTTGTATTTTCCTGAAATGTTTTAAATTTACTTCACAAAGTCTTTGAGTTAGTAATTTCCATTTTTAAGGGTTTCTGATATTTAAGTTCCATTGTGGTAATATGGGCACAGTGTTAAAGGTTTGTATGAAATATTTGGCTTTAATTTTTAATCTTTTTAAAAATCAAAATAAACTATTTAACACATCAGTCTTTAGCATTGTCCGTCATAACAGGTGAATGTTTAGCTTCCTCTTTCCGCAATGACTTTATTCTCCCCAATTTCCTTCAGATGCATCATACAGTTTTATTTTTGTTTTTGATATTTATTGAGATCATATACTTTAAAATAAATAAGTAATTACCATTTATGACTATTGTTTACTGCTAGGTTATGTAATAACAGTCACACTGTTCTGCCTCTTTGTACAATTTAATTCTTTGTCTAAAGTATTTCTGAAATGTACACAGCTCTGCACTACTGCTGGACGATCCCTAAGGAGCATTAGTTCACGAAACCAAGTAGGATAAGTAACCCCAGCGCTCTTTCTGTTTTCATGTTCTTCCTCTTTGAGGGAGGTCAATTTTCTATTCTTAATGGGACAGTTTTCTTAACAACAATCCCCGCAATGCTGTAACATTAGTCATGTGCCTACCAGGACATTGTTCACATTCTAAAACACCCTTGCTTCGGTTTTCTCCCAGAGACCGCCCTCACTGGCTTTCCTACCTTAGAGTGACAGGCTTGTCCTTAGGCCTGCTGCTTCACTTTCCCTGGAATATCTCCTTGAAGTCTGTCTTCCATAGGGCTCTGTTGCAAGTGTCCTCACTGTCCTAGATTCTTTTGTTTCCTCTGTCTTGTGCTCCCCTGTCCTACTGGAAAACTTTCTCCTGTGAAAGGGCATATGGATAATTTTAAGAAGCCGGCCTGTAAAGGAAAATATAGTTTTTAATAAAACATAGATTTGCAGGTTGATGCCAGTTTTCACAAAGCTCTTCTCATTACTAGTGTTGTTCTTAACTCTGCTGTCCCCATATTATATACCTCATGAATAACCAGCTATAGCCACTCCCCTCCTCTGGAAGCTTTCAAAGGCTTCTCTATCTTCGGGATGCTGAAAGAACAGACGGGTTTGTTATTGACTTTTTCATCTCCTTGGGGTGGTCTTTAAAGTCTGAAAACTCCCTCTTCTTTAAAAGTCCTTGATATATTCTCTAGTTTTTCTTATACTTTGTTTATTCAAATATTGTGTTTTTCATACTCGTACTTCTTCACTCATGTCAAATGTCCGTCCTCTTTCCATTTTCTACTTTTTCCTTTGGCTCTGATTAAATATTAGTTATTCCTTGAATTGAAATTTTTCAACCTGGTATTGAAGTACTTTTAAACTTCTAATTTGCTCCTGAATTTCTAGCACTCCCACAAATTCCTTTGTTCCTCTTACAATGATCTCTCTTGTCAGAGGATTCCCTGAAATACATGGGTGACCCTGGCATTCCCTGGACTGAAATACTGTATGTGAACAAAACTTTCATTTCACTAGTGGGCTCCACTGTGAGAATTTGGCAGTGAAATCAGGTTTTCCTTTGCAGGGCTTTGGGCAACACCTGGGGGCCAAATCTCTTGGACAGCCTGATATCAGAGAAAAAGCTCTTCAAACTCTGCCTGAGGAATACAATCAAAGCTGCCTGCTTTCCAGAAACTATTCATCGTACAGTGTTTCCTCCACTAATGTCTAGGTCTCAGCCATGATGTACTTGATATCTCTAAGTTTTAATGTCTATAGAATATAATATCTGCATAGCACCTGCAGAGATGGAGGACAGGTGTACAATGGCTCTACATTCATTTCCTATGGTTTTTCATGGCCTCTGCTTCACATTTTATGCCAAGGTGCTCTGTGCCTCAGAGTGCCCTAATATTTTCCCGTGTGAGTTAACAGTATTTAACTTACAGTTCTCACACATCAAAAATGATGTCCATTCTGGACCCAGGTCTCATGTGTAACATTTATTTTATCCTTTAATTCAAATAATATTTCAGGAGCAAGTTGAACTAGCTGCATGTTCAATCAATCCACCATTTTTAACTTAATTAAAACTTGTAGTTCAAGGGTAAGTGTGTCTTAGTTACCTATTTATTGCTGGGACAAAATACTCAACACCCACAAGTTAAAGGAGGTAAGGTGTCTTTTAGCTCACATTTTGTAGAAGTTTTAGTCCACAGTCATCTGGCTCCAAAGCAAGAAGTCATGGCAGAGGAACCTGAGAGCGGATATACACTGCATGGAATGGCAGGTAAGAAGCAGCAAGACTTCTTCCTCCTTTCAGTTTTTATTTAATTCAGGCTATAAGCCTCTTGGTTGGTGCCACCCAAAACCAGGTGCATCTTCTCTCTCCATTAAGCCCATCATTCACACCCAGAATTATGCTAATTATCCACACAGAACTATGCTAAACCATTCAGTGAACTAATTCAGTATCACACACCCATGATTCACTGACCTCTTCAGAAGTCTCTAGACTATAAGCACTAGAGGGTTTAAAGAAACATCTAGTGTAAGCAATAACCAAATGTATTTAAATTAAATACATATAATGGTATTAACTTGGACCCTTAAATTAAATACATATAATGGTATTAACTTGGACCTTTAAAAGTATGTATCTCCAATATATTAAGGATTCCTTTAACTTGTAGATGTCAGATGATTTCTCCCAGTGAAGAGAAAGTAACTAACACAGAGTTTTGTGCTGGTGGTGGGGTTATTGCTGTGCTGCTGCTACCTGACCATATGGTTCAGAAGCCTTTATAAGTGGCATGTAAGATCATTTGGAAAGGTCTAGAGATACCAGCTGTGTATTTTTTATTACAACTGAAAAAAGTGAAAAGAAAAAACAGTTTTAAACTGGCTAGTGGGAGAGTAATAGGAAATGTAAAATGTGTGTGTGTGTGTGTGTGTGTGTGTTACATTTGCAGAAAATAAGTTTGCATTTTGCTCATATCCAAAGGCTTTGTCAAAGGCTGAAATTAAATTAATCTGGTTGAAGAAATTTCAAGGCAGTTCAATGTTAAGGTACTGGCATGGTTACTGTTGATGGCTTTCATCCAGATCTATGTTGAGAGCAAATGGCCCAAAAGAATATTTAAAATGTTTTGAGTTTGTCCAGAAAGAGACTATTTTGAGAGGATAATTCAGTGTCTGGATATCTAAGACTTTTAGGGTTACTTGGACCACTGTGTAAGTTTGTTTGCATGTCTTCTGTCTCTCTGGTTGCACACTGTTACGTGGTTCTGGCTGACTTTTGCACACAAAATACACACAGACACAAACATGTGCCATGATATCTCATCTGGATAGGCTTTTTAAAACTAAAAATAGATGAAAGTTCTTGAAATACTTACGAGGAAGGTTGGAGGAGCATCTCCAGGTAGCTCTAATGCTTGAGATTTGTCAAGGGAAACCTAAATAATTCAACATATTAATATATTTTAGTGTGGCACCACAGGAAGAAAATTGGGACAATCTGAGCTGGACAAAGTGAACTCAAGAAGAAGAAAAACAATGCTTGAATAGACTTTGTAAATGTCACATTAATTTTTAAAATGCAATTTATTTTTATTATTGCAGTTCTTAAATGAGAATACCTCATTGTTTCCAGACTTCTGCATTTTTATTTTTTGACAAAAGAGGTATCACTTTGGTCCTCTATCACAGATGTTCAGCAGGCTGTGTAATTGCCAAAAAGATCAGATTTGGTAGTGTAATTATTTTTGTTTTCCTAACTTTGTTGTTAAGTGTGAATGCATGAATCTGTTTGAATCTTTATGGTAATGGACTACTCCTACTCACTTACAGCAAAGAATAATTGTTTTCCATTTCATAAGTGAAGTTGTTTTCAAGGTTAAGTGATTGACATTACGGCATATTAGATAAGTGTATGTCAAAAACAATGTCTGTTATAGTATATATTGTGTGTACTAGGGGGTATACATAAGACAGAATGATAGACATTTAGTGTTTTACAATTTTTTCTTTTAAATTTTATGATTAAGCATCACTTAGAAATGTTTATGAATTTTTTTGCTATTCTAGTTATCTTTAAAAATGGGAAAATGGGGCATGGACAGTTTCATTCTTAAATTCTTGATCTGAATTCACCTGTGGACCAATTGTACTCACCCAGATGTGCTGTGTGTTGTTGATATCACCAAACAGGTTGTCTAACCATCTCAGAATGTTCATATACTTATACAAAATGGGTCATGCCTTTAAGGTCTTTCCCATGCTGAGGAAAATATTAAATATGCTCAATCTCTTACACTGTCACTGGAACACTTTCAGAGAAATGTTTTATGATGCAGCTGTTGGCAGATGTATTCCAGAATGTAGGTGGGATCAAATCTGTGGGACATAAACACCGAAAAAAGCTTCTCAGGCAGCGAATTGCATGAATGAGGCAGAAATGTGTCCTCATAAGTGTCAGATAGCTTTAGAGAATTAAATGTAATCTTGAGTGTCTGAGGCTTTCCACAAAGTGATGTAATGGAAATCCTCCCAGAAAATAATTGAATGTTCAGCTCTCAAAGTTGTTCTTGTCCTCTATTTTAGATGTTAGGGAATCTTCAAATAGTACTTGTGTATTCTTGGTAAGGGTACAGGTCCAGGTGACCTATCGCCCTGGCTTGTTAGTGACTGAGCTTCCCTGGCACAGTCCTTTGACTGTGAAATATTTGTCTCATCACATTAACACACTTAGTGTTAGTTAATGAATTAAGTGTTAAGCTTTTGTTTGTTGTACTATACTGTTAATACTGTGCCAATATTATGCAAGGCATTACATTTTATTCTAGTTACTAACAGTAGAAATAGAAAATCTTAGCTGTTTTTCTTGCTAAAAGTCGAAAATCTTATTTTAAACTTTTTATACTATTTATAAAATGATGTATACTAAATGCTTGTCAGATTTGAAAATAGGTAGCATAATAAGGGCTATATTTTACAACCTACTCCTCCAACACCCCTGAAAAGAAACAGCCTCCCCCAGTAACATTTTGCAGACCCATATGCATGACACTGCTCTCAGACCTTTCATGCACTGTAAGAAATACCTTCATGGTTTGTCACTTGACATTTTAACCAAGGAAACAGCCCCAACATTTGTGGGTCTAACTTACTGTGACATTTTCTTCTACTGTCAGCTGACGAGGAACTACAGCTCCTGCTCCTCAATATGGATGGATGACAGCACACTCAGCAAGCCTAATCATAGAAACATAGTACAATGGTGAGTACAGGGATGCTGCAGAGGCCTCAGTGACAGGTCCCCTACTGCTAAAACATTCCAGCCATGTTGGGTAAATTCAGCCATATGATTATTCTCTTCCTTTCCCACTTTCAAATATTGGCGCAAAACATCTATATTGATTGTAAAGGCCTAACTGTGATTTTCCCATTTTTATTTTAATCCACTCGTGGTAGAAGGGATTCTTTAGCAACTAAAGAATCCCATGAAAAGTGTGCCTCTTTATACTAAACATGTATGATGCAAGACACTGTTAAATGTAAAAAGAACAGGTGCTTTATATTTGGATATTTCTAGAAAAGATAGTTCTCTATGAGTTACAGTTTAACAATTTAGAAATGACTCTTGGAAAAAAGAATCGCTGTTTCCTCTGTTGACACCCCAGTTACCAGCATTTGAATGTTTGCCATAATACATATGCGGTGTCACCTCATGTGCTGTGTGAGCACCACTGCACTGGGGTCAGTGGCTCACCTGGATTATAAACTCTAATACAATAACAAATTAAAGATACAAAGTTTTGAAAGCATGTTTCAATAGAAAGGGAGAAAATAGCCACCCTGACAAGAGAAACATGGAAGATCCATAGGCCTTTGTTCCTGGATACCTTTATTGTGTACCAAGGACACTTTGCCCTGCCTAGAACTTACCATAGCCCTCTTGGTTCCCAGGGATTTATTTGTA